AGATTCTTTCCTGAGTTGTGTCCAGTCTTAATAAGCCCATCCTATTCATTCTTTTTTTTTTTTTTTTTTTTAACTAATTCCCCAGTGGTCCTTCTCCAATTCATCCCTATTCATTCTTCATTCCTCTTCTCTTCTTTTTGATCTCTAGCATTTCCTTTTGGTTCTTTATTAGAATTTTCATCTCTGCTTTCATTGCCTTTCTTGTCTTGTATGCTGTCTGCTTTATCCATTAGCAGGCATCAATTAGTGTATTAATCATAATTGTTTTACATTACCAATTTGATCATTCCAACGGCCCTGTGATATCCCTCCCTCCCTCCTTCCCTCCTTTCTTCCTCCCCTCCCCTCCCCTCCCTTCCCTTCCCAGCATGCAAGATCTTAGTTCCATTACCAGGGATCGAACCAGTGCCCCCTACAGTGGAACTGTGGAGTCTTAACCACTGGATCCCTAGAGAAGTCCCTCCCTGTGATATCTGATTCTAGTTTTGAAGTTTCCTTTGCCTTTTCAAAATTTGTTTTTAGGCCTTTTAGTTGGCCCTGTAATTTTTTTCTTTGTAACTGGCATGATGTATTCCCTAAAAGGAACCATTGTAGATAGACCTTTATTGATGTGTTGGTAAGATGTGGAGAGCGGAAGCATGCATGTTGCTGTTAGCATTCATATTATATTTAATTTTCAATCTTTTAATGAGCCTGTGTGTCTTTATCCTGAACTTCACAATTTCTTCTCAATTTAATTTTCCCTCCCTTAGTTGGGACAGAATGGGTATTGGGGGCTGTAGTTGGGTATTTCCTCTTTCCCAGGTAAGTTAGGCTCTGATAAAATGACAGTAGGTTTGGCTCTGGGCAGACTTTGTTAAAAACAGAATGTTCTGGCTATTTTGTTTTTCTAATCTTCATTTCTTTTTTCAGAAGGCTTTGTTTAGTTTGTTTTGTAGTTCCTCAAGTTGTAAAGGTACGTTGTTGATTGATGATGTTTCTTTGTTTATATGTAAGCATTTATAGATGTAAATTTTCTCCTTAGTACTGCTTTTGTGGCATCTTATAAGTTTTAGTATGTTATATTATTGTTTTCTTTAGTCTCTTAAGTATTTTCTAGTTTCCTGTGTGAGCTTTTTTTCAAGGACCTATTGGTTGTTTCAAAGTATGTTGTTTAATTTCCAGAAATTTGTGGATATTTGTTTTCCATATGTGATTGATCTCTATCTTCAATCTGTTTCAGTTGGAGAGGACAGTTTGTATGCTCTTTATCTAATTTAAACTATTGTTCCTGTCTATTGCTGAGAGCAGAGCATTGAAGTGTCCCCATACTATAGTAGAACTGTTTCTCTTTTCAGTTCTGTCAGGTTTTGCTTTATATCTTTTGATTGTCTATTATGAGGTGTGTAAATATATATACTTATTTTAATTTTTTTATTTATGTTTGGCTGCGTTGGGTCTTTTTTTTGTGGTTTTTTTTTTTGCGGTACGCAGGCCTCTCACTGTTGTGGCCTCTCCCGTTGTGGAGCACAGGCTCCAGACATGCAGGCTTAGCGGCCATGGCTCATGGGCCCAGCTGCTCCACGGCATGTGGAATCTTCCCGGACCGGGGCATGAACCCATGTCCCCTGCATCGGCAGGTGGACTCTCAACCACTGTGCCACCAGGGAAGCCCTTTTAAAAAATTTATTTTTTATGTATTTATTTTTGGCTGCGTTGGGTCTTCATTGCAGCATGCAGGCTTTTCATTGTAGTGGCTTATCATTGCAGAGCACAGGCTCTAGACGTGTGGGCTTGAGTAGTTATGGCACGTGGGCTCAGTAGTTGTGATACATGCACTTAGTTGCTCCACGGCATGTGGGATCTTCCCAGACAAGGGATTGAACCTATGTCCCCTACATTGGCAGGCAGATTCCCAACCACTGCACCACCAGGGAAGTCCCTAGACTTCTTTATTGTTTGATATGAATAATAACCACCCCTGTGTTCTTTTGGTTACTATTTGCATGAAATATCTTTTTCTAACCTTTCATTTTCAATTTAATTGACTTTTGTCAACAGCATACAGTTGGATCATTTTAAAAAATCTGTCAGTCTGTCTTTTGCTTTGAGTGTTTAATCCATTTACATTTAGAGCAATTACTGATAAGAGGTATTTTTGTCATTTTGCTCTTTGTTTTCTGTATGCCTTAGAGCTTGTTGTTCCTTAATTTTTGATATTTTCTCTTTTTGTATTAAATTTGTTTAGTGATATGTTTTAATTGTCTTTTCATTTCCTTTGTGTACATTATATGATTATTTGTAGTTACCATGGGGATTACATTTTATATCCTAAACCTACCAGCATACTAATTTTAATTTACACCAGCTTACCATCAATAACATTACAAAAACATTTCTGCTTCTGTAGTGCTCTGTCCCCACTATTTTCTAGTATTGATTTTACAAAATTACATACTTGTATGTGGTGTGTTTAAGCTGAGACTATGGTTTCTTTAAATGCATTATTCTCTGCAATCAGGTAGAAAACGAAAAAGTGCTGTTATAAACTTACAATCACAGTAGCTTTTATAATTTTCTATGAACTTACCTTTATCAGAGACCATCATTTCTTCAAATAACTTTGAATTACCGTTTAGTGTTTTTTTCATTTCCACCTGAAAGAATCCATTTAGCATTTGCTGCAAGACAAGTCTAGTGTTAAAGAACTTCTTTAGCTTTTGTTTACATTGGAATATGTTAATTTTCCTTAGTTTTTGAAGGATGTTTCCCTGATGTAGGGTTATTAGTTGACACGTTATTTTCCTTCAACAATTTAAATATATCAACCCACTGCTTTCTGGCCAGATTTCTGATTAGAAATGTGCTGATAATCTTCTTGGGGATCCCTTGTCTGGAATGAGTCACTTCTCTCACTGATTTCAAGATTCTTTGTCTCTGCATTTCAACAGTTTTATTATAATGTGCTGCAGTATGGCTCTCACAGTCTATTCTGCTTGGAGTTTATTTAGATTTGGGGATGTTCCTATTCATATCAATCCATAAGTGTGCTATGTTTTTCTGTTCTGAATCCCTCTAGTGTTTTGTTTTCTTTTCACTTCAGCAATTGTACTTTTCAGTTCTCAAATTTCCTTTTTTGCAATACTTATACTTTCTTTCTCTTTATTGTTATTCCTACTTTGTTCAGGCAACACTTTTTTCTGTACACTGGGTTTTTTTTTTTTTTTTTTATTTTTTTGAACATCCTTTAGTCAGTTTTTAAGTTTTTCTAGTTAGTTCGCCATCTATTTTTTGTGTACCTGTTTATAAGTTACAGTTGCGGTTGATTTGTTATTTTCCTTTGCATCATACGTTCCTGTTTCTTTGTATGTCTTGTGATTTTTTGTCATTGAAAACTGAACATTTGTGTCTTATAATATTGTAATGCTGGAGATTCTGTATTCACTTTAACAAGTGTTTGCTGGTATGGGCTTCTCTTTGTTTTTGATGTTTTCAGGTGATTCTTTCCTGGACATCAACATGAGCTGTAAACTTAAGGGGTTTTCACTGTGCCTTTCTTGGGGGTGCACTATGACTTTTGAAGTTCCTCTATATAAGTGGCTGATTTTGAATGTCTTAGTCCTTACATATCTCACTCTCCAAAAGTGAAAAACCAGAAAAATGAAGAGCGGGAAAAGAGACACTGGCCCTTAAAATCAGGTGGGGAGACGGATTCATAACACCTTGTACTCCATCCACTGTTGTTCAGGTTGGTAGTGGATTCCTAACACCTATTACTCCATCCAGTGTTTTTCAGGTAGGGAGATGGATTCCTAACCCATCCCCTGTTTTACAGGTGGGGAGAAAAACACCTAACATTTTGTTTCCATTTTGTTTCCTAGCATTTTGTACTCCATCCACTGTACATCCTTCCCTCTGGCTCCACTGACATTTCTGTTTGTAGTATTTAAATATCATTCCTTTGTCTGTTGTGTGCTTAGTTCCTCTGGGTTCGTATTTGCCACTCACCCATCCTGACATTCCATTAGGCCTTGTGTCATATGTGTCCCATGTAGTTGTTCAAATGGGGATGGAGAGTCCTTGGGGCTTCACGGGATGGACATGACTCTGGTCTCAGCAAAAAGAGCTCACAGGTAGTCTGGCCAAGATGAATGGCAGCTGGCAGAGGGCTTGATATCAGGTCTGTGTTTTAAGTCATATCAGGAACATACCTTGTGTGATTAGTGTTTTAGCCCCATTGCCAGTGGCCCCAAATCACTTCTTTTGTCTTTTCTCCATTCTTGGTACTCTGCCAACTTGTCATTTCTACGACTACTCATTTTTATTCTGACTGCAGCCTGGGATTTATTCCCTACCACCTCTCTAAGCCACTTCTCTCATGTAGTCTTCACATTGTTTTCTCTATAGTACTTTATGACATTGTGCAGGTATCTTTGAATGGCATTAGGCAGGTATACTTTAATGTTCCATGAATACCAGCTACTGTTTCAGTAAGATTTTCTGGTGCATGGGCTTATACTTGTGCACAGTATCACAGATCAGCAGCAGATGTGGTCCTAGTGAAAGCCATTGACAGAGGAGTGAACTGTAGAACATGCCTTTCACCCTTGGACCACATCCAGTCCTTGTGTCCTGTGCTTGGTGAGGCTGCATCAATTCTGTGACCTTAAATCCCAATAATGCAAAACAGCTGCATCCTCAATTTGACCCCAACTCCATTTACTGAACACAGTCCCATGGATTGGTTCTTTCATGTGTCAGACATACAGTTGTGATGGTGTCACCCCCATCCAACGTCAACATGAATTTCACCATCACGTCTTTGTTTTCAGGTTCTTGGCGTGGAGTCGATGAAGAGACACCTTCTGAAGAGAACATATGTGTGGAGGGAGTATCACAGATTAGGACCCCCAGGGCAGGTTCATCTCCTGAGAAGGCCCAGCCCTGTAAGATGTGCGTCCCAGTCTTGAGAGACATTTTGCACTTGGCTGAAGAGCAGGGAGCAAATAGGGGCCAGAAAGCATACACATGTGGGGCATGTGGGAAACAGTTCTATTTCACTGCAAACCTTCAACAGCACCGGAAGCAGCACATTAGAGAGAAACCTTTCCGATGTGATGTGAGGAGACTTGCATTTCTGAAGAGCTTCACAGTCTACACATCAGGGAATCTCTCTGTGTACAGTGAAATTGGGAAGAAATTAGCAGCCAACATGGGACTTCAGCAACAGGCCACTAATATCAGGAAGGAACAAAACAACAGTCATGAGTGTGAAGCTGTTTTTCACAGTGGAACAATTCATCGGAGCTGGGGAGAAGGCAGAAAATCCTCCAGCCACACAGATATGTATGAGAGAGTCATCACTAGTGAAGCGTTTTGTGAGTGCAGCAAATGTGGGAAAGCCTGCACCAAAAGTTGTAATCTTATGCAGCACCAGAGAGTTCACACTGGAGAGAAGCCTTATGAGGGCAGCGAATGTGGAAAATCCTTTAGCCGAAGCCACCACCTCAGTGTGCATAGGAAGATCCACACCGGAGAGAAGCCTTATGCATGCAAGAAATGTGCTAAATCTTTTCTCCAAAGGTCCAGCTTCATTCAACATCTGAGAGTTCACACTGGAGAAAAGCATTATGAATGCAGTGAATGTGGAAAATCTTTTAGCAAAAAGTCCAATTTCCTTCAACATAAGAGAGTTCATACTGGAGAAAGGCCTTATGAGTGCAGTGAATGTGGGAAATCCTTTATCCATAGATGTCAACTTTTTATACACCAGAGAGTTCACACAGGAGAAAGGCCTTATGAGTGCAGTGAATGTGGGAAATCCTTTATTCATAGATGTCAACTTCTTATACACCAGAGAGTTCACACAGGAGAAAGGCCTTATGAGTGCAGTGAATGTGGGAAATCTTTTACAGTTAGGTCTGTCCTGCAAAATCATCAGAGAATTCATACTGGAGAGAGGCCTTATGAGTGCAGCCAATGTGAGAAATCCTTTATCCATAGATGTCAACTTCTTATACACCAGAGAGTTCACACAGGAGAAAGACCTTATGAGTGCAGTGAATGTGGGAAATCTTTTACAGCTAGGTCTGCCCTCCAAAATCATCAGAGAATTCATACTGGAGAGAGGCCTTATGAATGCAGCCAATGTGGGAAATCCTTTATCCATAGATGTCAACTTCTTATACACCAGAGAGTTCACACAGGAGAAAGGCCTTATGAGTGCAGCCAATGTGGGAAATCTTTTACAGCTAGGTCTGGCCTCCGAAATCATCAGAGAGTTCATACTGGAGAAAGACCTTATGAGTGCAGTGAATGTGGGAAATTGTTTATTGTTATTTCTGGCCTTATTAAACATCAGAGAGTTCACACAGGAGAAAGGCCTTATGAGTGTAATGAATGTGGGAAATCTTTCACTGCGAGAGCTGGCCTCCAAAATCATCAGAGAATTCACACGGGAGAAAGGCCTTATGAGTGTAAGGAATGTGGGAAATCTTTTACTGCGAGATCTGGCCTCCAAAATCATCAGAGAGTTCACACAGGAGAAAGGCCTTATGAGTGTATGGAATGTAGGAAATCTTTTACTTCTAGGTCTGGCCTCCGAAATCATCAGAGTGTTCATACTGGAGAAAGGCCTTATGAGTGCAGTGAATGTGGAAAATCTTTTAGCCAAAGACAAATCCTCAGTACCCATAGGAAAATCCATACTGGAGAAAGGCCTCATGAGTGCAAAGAATGTGGTAAATCTTTTATCCAAAAGTGCAGCTTAATTCATCATCAGAGAGTTCACCGTGGAGAAAACGCCCTATGAATGCAGCCGATAAGGACGCCACTGGGGTTTGGAGGAGTTTGACATGGTAACAGAATGGGAGGAACAGGTGCAGTCATCGTGCAACAGATGGACAATTTCTAGAGCGGAAACTCAAGGTGAGAGAAGGGGTGTCATCTGCTTGTGAACTCCCAGCAATGGACAGGGATTTAGGATACAGTGCTAGGTTGACTGGTTCAGGCCATGAGGAGTCTGGTCACAGCACTCCACTTTCACTCCCTACCCTGCTTTGGGGACTCAAAGAACACTTTGTCCATTCGGACACCCTCTTGTCGCCCCCACACAGACACAAAGAGGCCTGCTTAGGACACCCCCTCCTCCCCGCATGTGACTTGACAGGACTGTCGTTTCACTGGGAACAAATATTGATGGCTTTCCTATGAATGATCCAACTTATGTACCCGATAATGATCTGGTCCTGCTAACTCCATACCACAGGTTTTCAGTGGATGTGGGGCAGCCAAATTCGAGGAACAGACTCTACCTTGGGATGTGGATGTGACCCAGTCCCAGGACAGAGAAGACTAATCAATATAGAATGCCACATTAACAGAAGGAAGGATGAAAAATAACATGATCATCTCAGTAGACAGAGAAGAAGCATTTGACAAAATTCAGCATCCATTCATGATGAAAACCCATACAGGTGGGTATAGAGGGAACATATCTCAATAAAGGCCATTTATGACAAACCCACAGCAAACATCATACTGGTGGAAAGCTGAAAGGCTTTTTCCTAAATTCAGGAAGAAGAGAAGGATGCCCATTCCCAAAACTTCTATCTCACATAGTATTGGAAGTCCTAGCCCCAGCAATCAGACAAGCAAAAGCATCCAAATTGGAAGGTAAGAGGTAAAACAGTATTTTCAGATAACGTGATACTTTATATAGAAAACCCTAGTGTCCACCTCAAAACTTTTAGAACTAATTAAAGAATTCAGTAAAGCTATAGGATATAGTACAAATATACAGACATCTGTTGCATTTCTATACACTAATAATGAACTATCAGAAAAAGTAAAAAAATTAAATTGCTTCAGATTGCATCAGAAAGAATAAAATACCTAGTAGCAAATTAACTGAGGGCTTGAAAGACATATATTCAATAAACTATAAAACATTGATGAAGATTGAAGATAAAGAAATGGAAAGATATCCTGTGCTCTTGCATTGGAAGAATTAAGATTGTTACAATGACAATACTATGCAAAGCAATCGTGAAATGGACAGAAGACATAATGGAGTTAGAAAAACTATCCGAAGTGATGCAAATGAAGAACACACGTCTATTGTCATATGTGTTCAGTGTCTCAAGAAATATAGCAGCAATCTTGTGAGTAAGGCATATTCTAGTAAATGGGATATATTCATGTCCAAGACATAAAAAGGAGTCAGTTCTTATGGAAGGAATATTGTAGTTGATGGAAACTGCACCTAGGTAATTAGATTTCATGGAATATTAGAATGAGATGTTCCTATAAAAGGGAGAAAAAGAGCAAGTTACAGTTGAGGAAAAACGGGGGTTTGGGATGGGTTGAAAGAGTAAATAGAGTGTCCAGAGTAGGACTTTAGTGAAGGTGGACAGTTGTGGAAATACTGTGTTAAGGACAGCTTGCTTTCCTCTTTTCCAATTTTTACATGTTCATTTTCTTTACTGTATTAGAGAGGACCTCTGGCATATTAGGGAATACCAGTGTAAGGCAGTGAACTGCCATCCTACTGATCTCAAGCATCCTATTTTTTTCCTTTATATCTAGTCTTTTCAGTCCAGAACCATATAAAGTCGCACAAATTACATTTATTTCTCACCTCTCTTTAATGTCCATTCTGACACAATCTCTCTGATTCCTTCAAGTTGTTTTCCCTTGGTATCTTTTACACAATACATGACAATTTGTAAAATTTCCCTCACTTGGTATACAGTAAGATATCCTTATAAATAGATTCAGATTATGTGGTTTATTGTTTTTATTGTTGCTGTTTTGCTCCCATCCAAGATAATACAAAAGTGCTGCCTTGTCCTTTTCAGTGTACCATATCAGGAAACAAGATGTCTGTTTTCCAGTATTGGCAGTGTTTCCTTTGATCACTTCTTTATGGTGATATGCTTTGGATTTTTTTCCTATTACTCTGAGAGGCTGAAGAAGGGGTGTAGCAAGACACTGTGATCATCTATTTGTTTCTAAATCTCTCTGGCTTCTGTGTGGAGAGTGAACTTAGGAGGGAAGAACTGATGTAGGAGAGAGGACAGAATCCTTTGTTTAGTTGGGAGCCCTTTGATGATGGACCAGCCCAGGATGGTGGCATTGGAGATGGTGAGGACAGGATGACCTGGGACACATTAGGAGGCAGAGTTGGCAGGACGTGTGCATAATTGAGATGATGGGGTGAGTCCCAGAGAATGATTTTTTTCCCTTCAGTCCTCAAGAGTGAGCCATTACATTTGTGGGCCTGAGAGGCTTACCTTGTTTTCTTAAATTTCTGAATCAGCTGTCAGCTATGTTGAGTAACTGCAGCCAAAGTTTCCAATACCTGGGACAAAAAATCGGCAGGATTGCTCCCTGACAGTTATTTGGGTAGATGAGTTTTGTGTGGCCTTGCTTTCCTTGGGCCTGCCAGGGTTAGATGAGGCTGGATAGGAAGACTTGTGTGGTGGTGGTGTGTATCTGTAATATCTGTAGCTGTATGTGTTTGAGCCTGCCAGGGAACATTAGCTATTCTTTGAATAGAAATTCAAAACTTGCCCTCGAACTTCACTTGATGAAAATTAAATCCCTTGTTAAGGAAGTTTAGGGTCATCCAAAAGTACTGACAGCTACTTTGAATATTTATTTCAAGCCATTTAATGTAATTGTTGATATATTTGGGTTGAAATATATCCTTTTATTTTGTGTATTTCTTACCTTGCCCTTTGTTCTTTATCTTGGCCTTTAAAAAATTTTTAACCCTCTATTTATTAGTTATTTGTAATTCAATTTTCTTTACTTCTAGCTTTGAAAATATATACCTTTATTTTATTTACTGTTTAAGCCCCAAATCACTTATTTAACACATTAGAGCATAAAGTTATAAATACATTTTTTTCTTCATTCTGCATATTATAAGGGGTTTAAAACATTAATTTTTCCCATAGGAATATGTTTTTCAAGGTATGCATAGGGATTCTGTCATTCTAAATCTGTAAGGAAATATTACTAATGCTTTACACAATTGGTGACATGTATGTCAATCAACACATGCATTTCTCTCTTCAGTTATCATTCCTTTTGTCATCACTGATCTTTCAACTGGAATTACAATCCATTGTTCATTGTCCTTGAATAGAACTTTTTTTTGAATAGAACTTTTAATGTTCATTTTTCCAGGTTAATTGTGCATTAATTTTCTCATTTCAAATCGTTTTGTTTCATCCATTCTTGAAGGACATATTTGCTGTACATAGAAATCTTGGTTGGCAATTTTCTCTTCAGTGGTGGGGGGAGGTCATATTGACCTTTCTACTTCTGTGGTTTTCTTAATCTTCTTGAGCTACAGAAGATATTCTGTATGCTAAGGTGTGCTATTTTGATGTATTTTACTCTGAACCTATCAAGATCAAAAGGAAATAGGGAATGACTCCCCTTCCCTGCCCCACCTCCTTAGTAGCACAGCAGGCCCCCCTATGGGTTTATTCTTACAGGAAATGCAGAAACACAACCAGTTCCCTTGTAAGGGGTTCTAACCTTCTGCGCTCTAGTCCAAGTGATTTTCATCTGTCCCATTCTGTAATTGTTGATTGTTGGTCTCCAGCAGCTATTTACCTTCATGGATCTCACCACTTCTGGGGGTTGCTTTTCCAGACACCCTGAATTGGGAAGACTCTGGGGGTTCTGGGGTTACTGAGTTCATGCCAGTTTTTGCTGGGGTTTCTCAGAAGGACTCAGGCCCAGGAGTGCAGGGTGGAGGGTCCTATGGGCGCCCCACAAGGGCTGGTTCGCTCGTGTCTCTTCCTGCTCCCGTGTACCAGAGGGAACATTTTGAGGCCTTTTCCTCTGGGGACCCATGTGCACCAAGTCCAGGGGCGCCACGTGTGATCTGAGGTGACCTATCAGAGGAGTCAGTGATAAATGAAGAGAGCTAGGTGGTCTCCAGGGTGGGAGATAGGGGAACCAGACTCCCAGATGAGGGCAGGGTGACCTGGGGACATGGGGAAAACCTGGAGATGGTGGCACCGCACAAAGGTGGGACATACGAAAGATCCCTGGGCTAGGCCTCCTCCCTGGTCCCATAGGCTGTGTCCCCCATGCTCCCTCAGGGTTAGCCCAAGACACAAAATCCAGAATGTTTGCCCAAAGGCTGAGTCCTTCGTTTTCATTGCTGTGACCTGGCTCCCTCACAGATGTGCACCCCTGAGTGGTGGTGACCAATCCCCCTCCTCCTGGCTGAATCCTACTTCAGGGCCCAGAGGCCATGTGCGCTTTGATGAGGAAGAAATAAAAGAAGATTTGTGGCCCCTGGGCCCACACTCGAGGGTCTTGGTCCACTCCAGGATGACCCTGCCCTAAGAGGTCCCGATGTGGGGTTTCAGCCTCGGAGCCATCACTTCCACACTCCCACCTGGACAGCCTTAAGACAGTCTCCCAGGACAGGAAGCATCCTTGACACTGGCCTCAAGACACCCGCCCCCCACCACCAACAATCCCCACTCAGTCAGCCACAGGAACTGATCTTTTTCCTGAGGCTGAGGAGGTAGAAATGCGGCCTGACCAGGAGAGATGGACCCCTGGGTATCTGCATACAGTTTCTGTGCCTTGAAGGAGGGACCCTGCAGGAAATGAGGGGCCTTTGGTTGCTCAGAGCCAGACTCTGGTGTATACAGACAAGAGACAATAATGCAGGCCCTGGAGGAAGGGGGCCTTTTTTAAGTAGACAAGTGATCTTCCTAAAGTGCTGTCAGGTGCAAGATGTATTGCTAAATGAGTGAGAGACACCAGTGTTTTAATGGATATTGGATCTAAGTCATCCAAAGCAAGGTCCTGGAGAGACACCACATCTTGGTAGGCAGGCAGCGAGCAGGATGTTTCAGCAGTTTTAGCTTCTGGAAAAGGAGGTTACCAGCTTTAGCGGGAATTGACATCGTGCTGGCTCATTGGTTATCACGGAAAGCAGCAGAGGAGCATGCTCCTCACATCCCCTCTGATAACACTATCAAAGTGGAGAGTCTCTGATCTAAAGATTAATCACTAGCTGAGGCCTGGGCAGGTACCCAGGTGTTTGCTGATTAGGCTTTATGTTTAAGATGGAAGGTCAGCCATGTGAGTAGGGTGCAGGTGAATCAGACTGCTGGACCAGGGGATGTACAGAGCAAGAGGACAGCCATGGTGGGTGGCCTGATCCATCTCTTGCTGAGCAGTGCACAGTCATTGACTATGCAGACAGGAGAGCCATTTCTGACGTGACCAGAACCAGCGCTCTCCCTCTTGTCCAGATGCTTCAGGGCTGCCCAATATCTCCTTTTCCATATTCCTGGTCAGGGTCCTGTCTTACTTTTCTCTTGTCCCTTGCCAAAGTTTACAAGATGACTAACGCTTCAGACCGCATGCGTTTCAAAAGCAATAGGATAATGTTTATTTGCTTCCTGTTACCAGTGGATGTCAACTTGGGTTGGCTTCGTGGGGTCTGAGATAACATCCAAACACTTCAGCAATCAGTAGCATTATAGAGCCTTAAATGCTCAACACTCACCGGAAAGTTTCCCCACCCCCGTAAGAAGAATGGAGCCCCCTACCCTCCACCCCGCACCCCACCCCCGCCCTAGAAGTCGTTTCCCAGCGCTCCTCGGGGGCTGCTTGGCTGTTTTCAAAGTGATTCAGGTGTGGGGCCCCGTGCTTCCTTGAGGCCTTTGCACTACATTACCCAGGATAACTTGTGTTAAGGCAACAACGTTGATCCAATGAAAATCCAGAAAGGGTGCATTTCCGGGAGAGGGCCGTCTTCCTGGCGGACATTTTGATTGCTGTGGAGTCTGAGGAGCTCGTCAGAAAGTCGAGGTGTGTGGTGTTGGGGGTCAGTTGACGGGGCAAGAAGGCATAGAAGGAGGTCTTGTGCGCACTGTACAGGGGCGGGTCTCGGGGCCGGGGAGACCGCGGTCTGCGTGCAGTATCCACGCTGAGTCCGACCTGGTCACTGGGCTGTGGGGCCCTCCTCTTGAGGACTCGGTGGCGGCGGCCGTGCTGAGGGACCCGGCTAAGGTAAATGCTGCGTGCTCCGGGTTCTCCCCTGCCCGTTTCTCCACCCAAATACGAACGGCCGGCGTGAGAGGCGCCTGTTTACGTCTGGTTCAAGACAGTGAGGCCTTCAGGTGTCGTGTCCCTATTTCTGACCACCAGTGTAATGTGGTCTGGGTGAGCCTTGTAGACGCAACTAAAGGAGGAGCATTCGGAACTTGGAGTCCATCCTGTTTCTGGGAGGAAAAATGTTTGAGACCAGGCTGCACCTGGAGTGGTAGGTGAGAGTTGTATCTTTCTCTTTGGGCCCATGGAGCGGTGCAGAGTTGGTTTTTTATAAATGAATGAATGAATTCATTCATTTACTCATTCATTTATTTATTCATTGATTGATTGCTGCGTTGGGTCTTCGTTGCTGCGCGGAGGCCTTCTCTAGTTGCGCCGAGCCGGGGCTACTCTTCCTTGCGGTGCGTGGGCTTCTCATTGCGGTGGCTTCTCTTGTTGAGGAGCCACGGGCTCTAGGCACGTGGGCTTCAGTAGTTGTGGCTCGTGGGCTCTAGAGCACAGGCTCAGTGGTTGTGGCACACGGGTTTCGTTGCTCCGCGACATGTGGGATCTTCCCGGACCAGGGATTGAAGGGTGTCCCCTGCATTGGCAGGCGGGTTCTCAACCGCTGCACCACGAGAGAAGTCCCTGTGGAAAGTTTTGAGCATAGGAAGGACATGATTTGAGTTAGGGTTTTAAAAATACTCCAAAGCCTGCTCAATGGAAGAACATAATGTAGGGGGGTGATGAGGACAGTGAGGCAGAGGGAAGTTGTGGCTTTTCCAAGGTCCCAACTGGTAAGCGGTATCACTGTGGACTGAGGCACAGAGGAGAGGTTTGCTAGTCAGCCTGAGGTTATCTCGTTCTGGTACCGCCAGGGGGCCAGGGAAGGCCTGTGCCCCTGGAGCACCTCCCTGGTCACTTTTCCTCCATCGCCTGCCTTTCCCCACAGATTCCAAGGGCCAGAGAAGCACCTTCGTTAAATAGAGGTTGTCGCAGCCCCTCACATGTTGTGACCCCACGCACACATTCTCTGTATTTGAGAAGGGTCTTGGGGTTCTTCGCTAGTCATTTTCCCAGCCCTTTGGTTTGGGAACCCTGGAGAACCCCATGTTCAGGGTCCTGAGAGGAGGCCAGTTTCTATGGAGGGTGTCCCATTCCCCACCTTAAATGGAAGGAGTTGTGTAAGGTTACTCCTGGATTCGATACCAGTTGTGGAAGTGCGTCAAGGTGAGGCTGAGTTGGTTTAGGTAAGTGCAGGTCTCCTTTTTTTTTCTAGTGGAAATAACACAGAACAGCAGGTTTTCTGCTTTAAATGCCTGCCTGTATATTTTGGAGGCAATGGGAGCTTCAGATTAGAGGAGGGAGGTTTTCCTCTCAAGGTCTCAAGAGTCTCCATCTGGTCGACAGTAGGGGAAATGTGTGGGAAGATGGATTGTGGGTTTTCAGGAGTGAGACTGTTCATGGTTTTATTTGTCCCTGTTTACCAGGGCAGTGTGACCTTTGAGGATGTGGCCGTGTACTTCTCCTGGGAGGAATGATGTCTTTTTAACGAGGTTCAGATACACCTGTACCTTGATGTCATGCTGGAGAACTTTGCACTTGTCAGCATGCTGGGCAAGGCTCTCACACCCACCTCCCTCCTCTGACCTAGGCTCTGCTTTTGTTTTTTAACCTAAGGACAGCTCTGTTTCTCACATCTGGACCCTGGGCACACCTTGTTAAATTCCTTGGTTATGTGCTGTGGTTACTACAGCTAGGTTAGTGCCTCCCTACTCCTTAGTGCCTGGACACCTGTAGCCCCAAAGTCTTGCAGGTGATGCTTCAGGGTCAGTAGTGTTGCAGTCAGCCTGGTAGCTCTCTCCTTGCTTGCCCTCTCTGACCAGGCGAATGTCAAAATCCATGGTACCGAAGTTTTGCTTCATTCTTGAACCTGACATTTATTTGTGCCTGACTGTACAACTGTCACTGACTCGGTCACTTCTGAAACAGACCATGAACATTTTTCCAAGTTTCCAATTTCTCTGCATTCACACCAGCATGTGTTATTTTGTTTTTATCATAATAGCCATCCTAATGGATGTGAACTTGTATATCTTTTTCATTTCGATTGCATTTCCATAGTGGTGTGTTTATTGGTGTGTTTATTGGTATATCTTTAGAATAATTCAGGTCCTTTTTCCTTTTTTTTTTTTTTTTTTTTTTTTGGGTGCGGGGGCCTCTCTCCCGTTGCGGAGCACAGGCTCCGGACGCGCAGGCT